AAAAAAAAAAAAAAAAAAAAAAAAAAAAAAAGGATGATTCATAAATAATCTTTCTGAAAATTATTTAAGTCCAACTTGATTAACACTCAATGCTTGCTATGGGTCAGTCACTGTTGTAAGTACTAAGGACACAGTTCTTGCCCCAAAATTCACAGTTCAGAAGCCTCCTCATGACAGAGTTCTGTGCATACATCCTATTATGCTGACCATGGGGTTAAAATTGATCACTGAACTCGAAAGTTTTAACAGGACTATTGTGTAAGGAGCTTCTCCTCTCTTCGTACACATATGAAAAAGTGCTTTTGTTTTCTTATAACCTATTCATTTATCAAGCATTATTACACAGATTCTTACTTAGTCCTGAGAAGTGAATCAATTGTCTCCACTTGGAGCTCCATCAATCTCACAGACAAACACACATTTCTAACAAGTGAATCTTTGGATATTCCTAATAGTCCAGGCACTGCTATAATACTAACTATTGCTAACAGCATCCGAAAGACGGTGATTTCCAATTTTAAAATGCCTTGTTAATCCAAAAGACTATAGCGAGCAAGCTAAATTTTACTTGTATTTTCATGCAGCTGAGAATAAAGTTTCTGAGAAAATTTCAACAATTCTAAAATATCCAAAATAAGATTATTCTCCCAGGTAAGAACACAGACATAATCACATCTTCTATCTACAGTGAATAACCTAAAAATTGCATAAAATCAGCTCCTGAAGGTAGAAAAAACTAGAAACAGCAACCTCATGGTCTATCGTAAAAGTACTATTTTGCACTTATCATTACAGACCTTTCAACAGGGTTCTTGGACTCAGCATCATTTTAAAAATATTTCAGCTTCTTTAGCAGGAAGGTAAGCCTTTAAAATGTAAAACGTCCACGGTAAACACAAGAATTAAAGTCTGATACTGAGTCAGTTCCAATTCTCTACTTTTCTAGAAGTTCTTTTTTGACAAGTGGCTGGACCATTTCTGAGGGATACAGTGAGAGCTCATCCCTCTCCAAAGAGCCTCTGCATAAAGACGCCTAAGTTAGCTGTCAGGAGTCAAGTATCTTCTACAGTGTTTAATAATTCAATGAATCAGAACTATCCGAAGAGTACCTGCACCATTATGTTTAGTTAAAGACCACAGAGATTAGAAAACACATTACCCATCTCAGAGGCGGTCCTTTCCCTGTTACAGGTCCCTTAACGACCTTTACCATTCCTCCCTCCCTCCTTCCCTCCCTCCCTCCCTCTCATACTCTCTCTCTTTTAATAAGGTTGAGCAAATGGGACTTCATTTTATCTGACTGCCACGGCCTGGTGAGATTAATTATTCATGCTCACACTCTCCCTCTTGTTAAGACCATGCATTAGACTAATTTTTCTCTTTATTGCCCCAGTTGGGCGAGTCTCAACCCATGGCCACTTGATTCACCCTCAGAGGTGTATGGAGATGCTGGAAAGAAGGAAAAAGCTACCCATCGCTACAGTCTTGGAGAAAATATTCTGCACTAATGTGACTGCCCAATCAATAGATCTTGCTGGGGATGTTTTCTTTTAAGTACCAAGTGGATATTATGAAAGAGCTTAAATAGTGATTACAGGGCAAATTTTTATAGGAGCCAGGTGCTTCTTCAAGAAATCTCTCAAACAATTAAACCACATTAAGACTGGTGCATATTTTGCAAAGATAACTACAGGAGCTGCAATGTACAATCTGGGTGGTTTTCCTTTCTCTTCAGCGTCCAGGCAGATCTAGGGGCTCCTGGTAGAAGGAAACATTGTTTGGAAAGAACTTCAGCAGAATGTTCTTTCTTTCTGTTTTTTTCTTCTTAGAGACCTTAAAGTATTTTCATAAATCCTAGTCTTAGAATCCTAACTTTCAATTTTGCCTGAGTTGTTGGCGATGGTGGTATAGTGGTGAGAATAGCTGCCTTCCAATTTTGCCTGAGTTAATCTAACATAACAGCACATAACAAAAGTGGTTACCTCTGTGCACCCACCTCTCAGAGACAACCACTCAAACAGGTTAGTGTATATACTGCTAGACTTTCTCTGTACACATCTGGCTTATGTCTACCTGTCTCCTCCCTCTCCCTGTATGTGCGTATAAAATTATTCTTTTCTATGAATGGAATTATTGTTCTACAATTTGCCTTTTCTACGAAATAACATGAGAGTTCTTTCGTCAATTTATAGGTAAATCTTGTTATTTTTAATGGTGGCATAGAATTTCTCTCTCTATATATATAATTCCATAATGATGGATATTTGGGTTGTTTCTCATTTTCAGAAAAAATAAATAATGCTGTAATTTGCTCAACAGCCAGTCAACAATATTTATTAATCACCTTCCATGCTGGAGGCACTGGAATGACAGGGACGGCGGGTGACGTGCAGAAGCCTCCGCGCGCTGCCAGCGGAAACAATCCACCTCCACGCCAGCTGGTGCGCGGCCACCAGCTGCCCTGCTCCTGCATACGAGGGGATTGCATCTCTGAGGAGACCCACCTTGCGGCCCTGTCCCAGCAGCTGGTGCTGTAAGCAGCAGGGACAGCCGTGTAAAGTCGGGAAGGGGGCGGCAGCCACAGGCCCAACATCTGGGAAGCATCAGTCACTGTCCTGGTGCAGGCAGGCCCTGCACCCTCCAGGTGTGACCTGGACCAGTCAGTGTGCCCAGGACTAGCTTCCCAACCATACCATGAAGAAACAGCTGAGAAACGGCCATTGTCCCTGCAGTGGCGTGAGCTCAGGCAGACCAACCCTCCTTCCCCCAGGAAGAACTGGACTGAGCACGGCAAACACTTCTTAAATCCAGGACAGCACAGGATTAAGAGATCCTAGGCTGCACTGAAGCAGAGTCATGGGGGTTTACTGAAATTCTTAGGGATGACAAAGTCTACCTACTCTCTTTTCTGACCCCCAATAACCTACCTCCATCACTACCACATATATTTTGCTCTTATGAGGTGGGGAGTCATGATAAGAAGCCAGACTCTAGAGTTTACCCACCCACTCTCACTGCCTTCCATCCCTGTCAGCTTACTGTGTGCTCTGGTTGTGCCCTCAGCACACAGGCTCCCTCCGTCCTGGCCGAAGGTGTTTGTCTCCACACTTCATCAGAGAGTTACCAAGGAGACTGTCATTTCAGCAGGTCAGCCGAGGCTGTTAACCAAGCCCTCGGCCATATGTTGTGAAACACTGTCCTAGACTTACACGCTACGTTCCTTGGGAGAGAAATCCCATCATTAATTCTTGTAGCTTTGACTAAGGACGCAGCGTGTGCCAGGTGCTCCATAGATAGACTGACTGACTGTTACACATTATCAGGTGAACCCTGAGCTTACCACAGTCTGGGACACAATAAACACTCATATTCCTTTTCTTAACACCCTCCCTTTTCTGGATGTCTAATCTTGCTGCTGGCCTGTACAAAGGGATCACTCCATCCTACTCAAAATAGGAAGACATTCCACAGATCTCCTTCCATAATATCCAGATTCTAGAACCCCCAAACTGTCCAGTTCTGACAATATGGCAGACTCTAATGTCTGGAAAACCCTTCTGTTTACAAATGCCAAAAATGCAAGATAAAAGTCTATTAATAAACATTCTTTCAACCTATCTGTTTAACTTCTAAGAAACCAGAAAAATTCCGAGGAGCCAAAAATGGAAAACAAACGGCCCTGGCTGGGTAGCTCAGTTGGTTAGAGCATCGTCCCAACAGGCCAAGGT